CTCTTTCAGTCGTTGCGGAATTTTGTTACAATAAACATTACCATAGACATTTATAATATAAGTATGATTTGTATACAATACCTAAATAACACAGAAACAAGTTAGAATTAATGATTAAGTTTCTAAACTTCTTGACCACAGGTTCGTTGACGTCACGCGGTAACTTCAAGTTGTTACCGTTTTAATAACTTATTATTGGCACGAAGCATGCAAAGTGCTTTGTGTTATTCCTAATTATTATTACCTACATTAAATCTACACGTGCGGCAAATGTCGACGCCCTTTGTTTCACAGAACAAGGAGAACGAACTGTTGATGCTTATAAATTTATGACCAGAGTTTCGACAAAGGCTTTACAATAATAAAGGTTGACGTCTCATCAAATAATCGTACTGAAATTTAAATCATTTTAAGCAAATGTTCTTATTTAGAAATGAATGGTAAGGTTATATTTATTATTATTTCAGATATTAATATCTATGTAAGTAGTTTTTGTTAAAATCTGAATATTTACAGCGATATTCGACAGATCGAGATCATTATCCCGTACATTTTTATATGTGACATATGTAAATCAGAATGCTATCGCGTTAGAACCAATCCATAACTAATTAATGAGGAATTTGCGTTATGCATGTTTGTATACGTCGTTGCGCTTTGTTCTAAGCTTGAATCACAGTAATGCGCCTCGTAAATTACTTGAAACTCCTTTTTTATCGTTATCCGCTTCCTATATCACGCAGTTGCCAACTTTGTGGCGTTCTGTCTCCTTGAAGGAGTTATGCGACACCAATATAAGTCATTGTTGCTTTATTTCTTACAACAATGAGTGTAGTTTCTTGGTTCCTCGATCTATTTACGTCCATAACATTTTTCTCTATAGTTTATGGACCATTTCATCTAAATTACAGTTTCAATAAATTGTAATTGACCTTAAAATGTAAACAAGAAACTTGAGATGATTGTTTTATGATATAAGGCAATTTCGGAACCAAATTCTGAATTAATTACTAAATACTTTATGAAGGATATGTTAGTAAAAGTTGTTGTTTACTTTTAATTAACGTTTGCATATTTAATGAAATAAATGGTAAACCAGAACGTATCTCTTATTGCATACATTGCCGTGGCACATTTAGTATATAAGATTGCGTGCACATACATATCCACGTTCATACGGAGCGCAGCTCATTGTCAGCGAAGCACTGCTATGTATAATTTATTTCTATTGTTTTCTGAAATATTGTTTAGTAAAGCTCTGGAAAAAGGCCCCTTGTTATCTCAGGCTTATGGCTAGTTGGGTAATGTTTGAACAGACGCTACTCGTAGTTTACTGCTGCAGTTGTCTCTATATTTGAAGACGAATGCGCGCTTTTTTACGTTTTAATTGTTTTTCTTAAATGTGTTGATGTTGGTATGTCACTGGCATTTATTAAGTTTTCAACAACGACCATATGACGGTTTATGAGTTATCATATTCTATTTTATCTATACTACACTACACTCGAAGTGCATTTCTTGGACACAGATTTACTGTGCAACTACGTTACCGTGAACATTCGTGAATACAACATTAAATTTAACTGCTTTTAGAATTAGATTAAGGTTGAATAAGTGAATTACTTAAACATAACGCTTTACTTTTTATGCAAATTCCATAATTAAATGCGATCAAAGATCTTTTCTCTATTAATGCAGTTTCACTCGTTTATTTGATCTTAATTTCAAGGGTCACTTTCGTTGGAATTTTACCTAACTAAATATGTGAAGTCTTTTCAAGCCACCTGTATAAGGTTACATAAATACAAAGTACAATCTGATAATGGAGAGATGGTCGCTTGCTCTCGAAACCTGTGTAAACAGGAGGGCCCGGTACTACGCTCTATAATCTAGTTACACGATAGCGCTGTGGTACAGAACGTCACGCTTCCACGCTACTGCGTGAGTAAGGGCCGGTTCACAATTACCATTTAGCCCTTTTATAGTTTCCTGCGGTTTAAACATTGGAAATTGTCTTTTGTGCGTAAAATTTCATGTAGAACGATTTGTGGTTGAGTCCTAGAGATGTAGGGTAGCTTATTTTGAATTGGAGACCTAATCAGACGCCATTTATTGCAGTTACCATTATGTATGTAATAATCTTTCGGTGAAGAAAAACATCGCGACGCAACCTGCACATATTGGCGAAGAAATTCAAAGATATGTGTGAAGTCAACCCGCACTTGACCAGCGTGGTTGACTATGGTCTAGTCACCCCTTATTAGGGTAGGATCCGAGCCCCTCGGTGGGGGCGTATAGTGAGATTGTGATAATAATGATGAAACAATGTGTGACAGATTAATACATTCATAACATACTAATGAGCAAATGAACGAATTTTACTTTGCATATTTGAAATGTAATTCTAGGTACTGTAATTCGATGTGATTTCTCAGCGGCCAGTGGTAGAGGCGCTGGAACTTTAGATCTGATTGTTTACGAACATTCCTCAACTTGTTTGCCTTTCTGCTGATAGTTAATACAACTTGATCAAAGTTATACTTACTAAGGAATTGCTAGCATTTATTGTTTTTAAATGATTTAATCTGGATTATTGATTTACTTATAGTTCTTTAGTTCAAATGTGTACTCTTAAAAATTTTTACGAATTCAGAATTTCAAAGTGAATGAAGTATGTAATGTTGTGCTTTGTAATTGAATTGCAAAAAGGCTGTATTGATTTAGGTGTGAAACGGTCCTAATAATAACAAAGCTGGGTAGTAATAAGATACACCAAACATAATAAACTGAACGCGTGACAAAACGTAATACAAACACTTTAAAACGTCTCCGAGCTGTTTGAGCACGCACAACAGTTATTAGGTTATTTATTGTATTTACATTTTTTTTAATAATTTACTTATCTATACAATAGTAAAGACTATATAGATATAGGTTTCTATAAAGAGAGCGGAAAGATTTGTTTGTAAGAATAAACTACAAGACTCATTACTTACTGAAGATTTCGAATAAATAATAATCTTGCTAATAGCATAAATGCGAATGTTTAGATGGATGTTTGTTAGAGATCGTAGCCTAAATGGCGAAAGGATCTCGATGAAATTTAGCAAAAATCTAGATAGTCTAAAGAACGGATAAGCTCGCTTTTGTTTTTTAATTAAGTCCGCGCTAGTAGTCTAATAAAGAAAATCCATAAATCGACATAGAAATGGGGTAAAGAGATCCCTCTCTACATTCGAAGCAAAATACAAAAATTCTATCTTTACAATAGCATTTTTCAAATAAACACGTAGCTGTGTTGCGTATGGATTGTTTCAACATTTTAATGTATCCATTTAACGTTGCCAAAACTAGTTATCGTTAATTATTCCGCAGTCATTAATTGCTATTAACAATTGCGAGTGTATTCGGGCAGCGATTAACATTGAATGATGGTGGACCTGAGTGTTATTGACCTTTGCAAATGCATCGTCCGCGTAACATTTCCTGTCATTGTGCGCTAAACTCTAAAACAAAGCTGGACGAATTAGATGAGTTTTCACTGCCGTGACACATGTATAATAACAATTGGTATTTCTTATTCTTTAGAAAAATGGTTAAGAATAATGTTTTCAAACAAAAGACAGTTGAAGTTTACGTGTGTATTAATTATCTTTTTTGTATAAATGATTAAAATCACCAAAACTTAAATAAGTTTGAAACGCAAATTATGTATATTATCTAATTCTTGTTAAGTAGTTTTTGAATTTCTGAAGGACTCGTTGTTTTATCTAAGTAATAAATCTTCACTTTTTTAAGTATGCATGTTAAAAAAGTTTTTGCATAGTTGTAGCGTAGTTTAGTATGTAGTTAGTAACTATATGCTAAGTGACCCCGGGCAGAGCTGAAACACTGTTTCTAAATTACGCCCCAAGGTGTTTTCAATGTTGAAACTCAGAATTTTGTAGCGACTATTTTTATTATTTCACCTTCGCGAAACAAACTAAAATAAAGTGAAAATCATTGATCAGAACAGTTTAGGGCGAGAACGGTGAGCGCCCTTCAAATTTAAACTCCTATTCATACGACCCCCGTTTCATCTGGGTTTATTTTCTACCGTGATTAAAATAATTACATGTCAGTTCAAAACCCTTTTTCGAGCCCTCAATTTTAAAGAGAAGGATGTGAAATGCACATCAAATCAAGCAGATTATAACCTCGATTTCAATATTTTGTGAACTAAAAGGAAAATTCTAATTACAAAATAAAAAATGGTAATATAACAATCTAAGAATGTACCAATTTTGATCGTTTGTTCTTAACTGGTCACCGATAGCATCGTAAGTCCGTTGGGTATGTAGCGTGTTCTGGCATCCCCATTTCCCCCTGCGTGGATGGTATCACGCCCCGCCGGCGATTACTGTCATGTTATCGAGCACGGGAGGTACGGAATACAGGGAAATATATATTTGGACGCTTTGATAAAACCATCGGTACATTTGGGAGCCGTTTATTTTTATTACATTGATAATTAGACCCTTTTTGATATCTTGTTGTAATAAAATCCAAGTTTATTCTAAGTATTATTAGACAATTTAAGTTTTATGTGTGTCGTATTGTTAGATTAGGATGTTTAGAAACGTAATTTTGAATAAAAATACTGTTTTTAGATATTAAAATGTATGGTATCGTTGTTACGTAAATAGATATAATTTATTGAAGAGGGATCAGTTTACTTGATTTAAATTTCACATTACGTGTTCACGAAGCCAGTTTTAAATTTGCAATTTTTAGTGTTGATTTAACTCGTTCGTTGGACTGAAGTAAAGTAATCGAAGGTTCTGAAACTATTTACGATATTCCAGACGAGTAGCAAACGTCCATCCATTCATCTAAACTTTGGCATTTATAATGTTAGAATGAAGAATGATTTACTTGGAATCTCTTGTTATAAAAGCCGATTAAGATGTATATTCAATGCATTAACGTAATAACTAACATGTATATTGTATTGTTGTCAGGGCGGTCACGGACCCGCGCGACGGGCGGCGCGTGGCGCTCAAGAAGCTGCCCAACGTGTTCCAGTCGCTCGTCTCCTCCAAGCGTGTATTCCGCGAACTCAAGATGCTCTGCTTCTTCAAACATGAGAATGTAAGTACAACCAATCCGCCAATGAAATCTACACACATTTTCTTACCACTGAAAGTACTGTAATTGTTTAAAATGTTTTTCATTGATAGAAGGTATCTTTTAAATTACCGTAGTTCAGTAAATAGCCAAATCAGTGGATATTTATTTTCGACTTTTCCATTGTCCAGTATAATAAAATGCGAGTTCAGCGGACCCGCGCAATTTTCGTTTTGAACCGAACAAGCGAGAATTTCACGAGGGAGCCAATTTTTCAATCATCCGCCATTTTGATTTTATTGAGTACGCTATTATCATGATAATGTGGCTCATTCATTATCGCGATATAATTGTAATGCGGCACGGCCATATAATTTATTCATTTTCCCCGTGTGTCTATCGATCGTGGTGTATTGTGTGCGGTTAGCGCGCATTTAACGCCGCGTATAAACAGGATTTGCACTGAAACGAGAAAATTGGATCCTCAGTGTGACGGGCCGTATTATGCTGCGTGACTGCTTTGTGACGACAAATTACGCGTCACTCTCAGGTTTCATTATGGCTTAGCCGCCGCGCCGCTCCTGATG